TTGGGTATATATGTAGGAGTGGAATTGCTGGGCCCTGTGGTAACTCTACGTTTAAGATTTTGAGGAGCTGTCAAACTGTGTTCCATAGCAGCTGCACCAGTTTACAAAGCCACCAGCCATGGATGAGGGTTCCAATCTCTCCATATCCTCATCAGCTCCTTCTATGTCTTTTTTTGTTATAGCCATCTTAGTTGATATGAACAGTTGTTCATTATTTATTTATAATAGCTTTATTGAGATTTAATTTATATGCCATAAAATCCACTCTTTTAATTGCACAATTTAGTTATTTTTAGTATATTCAGAAAATTTTTCATCACTGTCTAATTCCAAAACATTTTAATCACTTCCCCCAAAACCTCATACCCATTAGCAGTCACTCCTTTCTCCAGTCCCTGGCAACTAATAATCTACTTTCTGTCTCTATAGATTTGCCTATTCTGGATATTTCATATAAATGGAATCAGACAATATGGGCCTTTTGTGTCTGGCTTCTTCCACTTAAAATAATGTTTTCAAGGTACATTCACATGCTAGCATGTATCAAAATTTCATTTCCTTTTGTGGCTAAATAATAGTTAATTGTATGGATATAGTAAATTTTGTTTATCCATTCATCACTTGATGGACATTTGGGTTGTTTTCAGCTTTTGAATACTATGAATAATGCACTATGAACATTTTTGTACAAGTTTTTATTTTTATTTTTCTTGGGTATATGTCTAGAAGTGGAAGTATGGTAACTTTGTGTTTATTTTTTTGAGGAATTGTCCAACTGTTTTCCAATGCGGCTGCACCATTTTATATCCCATCAGTAATGTATGAGGGTTCCAGTTTCTCCAAATCCTCATCGACACTTGTTATTGTCTATTTGAGTATAGCCATCCTAGTGGGTGTGAAGTGGTTTCTCACTGTGGTTTTGATTTGCGTTTCCTTAATGACAGTGATGTTAAGCAACTTTTTATGTGCATGTTGACCAGTTGTATATCTTCTTTGGAGAAATGTCTATTCAGATCTTTTGCCAATTTTTAAAATTAGGTTTTTCTTTTTTATTGTTGAGTCAATAATTTTATGTATTCCAGATGCAAGTCCCTTGTCAGCTATAGGATTTGCAAAATTTTTCTCTCATTCTTTGAGTTGTATTTTCACTTTATTAATGTTGTCCTCTGAAGCACAAAAGTTTCTAAGTTTGATGGATCTAATTTATTAGTCTTCTGCTATTGTTGCTTGTAGTTTAGTGACATAGGTAATAAACCATTGCCTAATCAAGGTCTTGAAAATTTATACCATTTTTCTTTAAGAGTTTCATGATCTTGTATTTTCATTTAGGTTTTTAGTTCAGTATGAGTTAATTTTTGTATATGATGTAGGGGTTGGGGTTCAACTTCATTATTTTGTATATGGCTTTCCAGTTGTATATGAAAAGAGTATTATTTCCCCATTGAATTGTCTTGTCACCTCTGTTGAAAATCAGTTAAGCATAAATGTAAGGATTTATTTCTGGACTCTCAATTCTATTTCATCGGTCTATACATCTGTCCTTGCACTGGTACCACACTGGCATAAATGTAGCCACTGATTAGTGTAGTTTTGTAGTAAGTTTTGAAATCTGAAGTGTTAATTCAGTGCAACTTTCTTCTTTTTCAAAATGGCTTTGGCTTTCTGGGTCCCTTGTATTTTCATACAAATTTTAGGATCAGCTTGTCAATTCTTACAAAAAAGGCAGCTAGGATTCTGATAGGAATTGCATTGAATTTATAGATCAATTTGGGGAGTGCTGGCATATTAACAACATTAAGTCATCCAGTCTATGAATATGGGATTTGTTTCCATTTATTTAAGTCTTCTTTAATATCTTTTAAAGATACTTTGTAATTTTGATAGTATAAGTTTTGTACCTTTTTGGTTAAATTTATTCCCAAGTATGGGATTTGTTTCCATTTATTTAAGTCTTCTTTAATATCTTTTAAAGATACTTTGTAATTTTCATAGTATAAGTTTTGTACCTTTTTGGTTAAATTTATTCCCAAGTGTTTTATTATTTTTGATACTATTGTAAATGGATTTGTTTTATTAATTTCATTTTTGGATTGTTCATTACAAGTGCATAGAAATACAATTGATTTTTGTATATTGATTTTGTGTATTTATCCTGGACCTTGCTATATTGGTTTCCTAGGTATAATACTTTTAAGTGTATGTGTGTGAGTATGTGTGTGTATTCCTGAGGATTTTCTATATGAAAGGTCATGGCATCTGAAGTTTTACTTCTTCCTTTCCATTCTGGATACCTTTTATTTCATATTTTGCCTATATATTCTGTTGAACAGGAATTGAATTGGAGTGGTGAGGGTGGACCTCATCTTGATCCTGGGGGGAAAGAATTCAGTCTTTTGCCATTAAATATGATGTTAGTTGTGAGTTTTTCATAGAAGCTGCTTATCAAGTTCTGGAAATTACCTTCTATTTCTAGTTTCTTAAATTTTTTTTTTTTAATCATGTAAGGGTGTTGGATTTTGTCAAATACTTTTTCTTTGTGTGTGAGATGATTATGCAGCTTTTGTTTTTTATTTTAGTGATATGATATTACATTAAATTAGTGTTAAAAGCTAAACCAACTTTGCATTCCCAGAATAAATCCCACTTTATCACAGTATATTATCATTATTAAATATTGCTTATTCAGTTTCCTATTATTTGATTGAGGATTATTGAGTTTATGTCCATAAGAGGTATTGGTCTTTATTTTCTTGTGATGTCTTTGTTTTTGGTTAATACTGTCCTCATAGTGAGTTGGGAAGTGCTCAGACCTTTTCTACTTTTTGGAAGAGATTTTTAAATATTGGTATCAATTCTTCTTCAAGTGTTTGATAGAATTTCCCATGAAGCCATCTGGACCTGAGCTTATCTTTGTTGGAATTTTTTTAGATTACTAATTTAATATCTTTGTTTTAAGATTGGTCTTTTTCATTTTTGAGTCAGTTTTGTTAGTTTGTTTCTCTCTAGAAATTTTTCCATTTTGTCTAAGTTATCTAGTTTGTTGGCATGCTATTTTTCATAGTATTTCCTTATGATCATTATTTCCTGTAATGTCAGTAGTGATGTTCTGTCTTTTATTCCTGATTTTAGTAGTTTGAGTCTTTTTTTTTTTCTTTCTATCTTGGTCAATCTAGCTAAAGTTTTATTAATTTTGTTGATCTTTCCAAGGAACCGACTTTTGGCTTCATTGATTTTCCGTAGTTTTCCATTCTCTCTTTCATTTATTTCTGCTACAATTTTTTTTTCCTTTTTTGTCTTTTTTACTGACTGGTGACGGGATCGCAACCCTTGGTGTCGCGCCTGTACTGGGGACCGGCAACGGGATCGCAACCCTCGGTGTTGCGCCCGTACCGGGGACTGGCAAAGGGATCGCAACCCTCAGTGTTGCGCCCGCACCACGCTCAGCCAGTGAGCGGGAACCGGTCTCCACATGGGATCCGAACCCTCGGTGGGAGCGCCGCTGCGCTCCCAAGCAGCACACTCTCCAGTGCGCCACCGGGCCAGCCCACCATCTATCTTCAAGTTTACTCATTTTTTTCTTGAAATGTACTGTTGAGCTGCTCTAGTGAATATTTCTTTTCAGTTATTTTTCTCTTACACTCCCAAATTTACTTTTGTTTTGTTTTTTTTTATAGTTTCTATCTGTTGATATTTGATGAAACATTGTCATCCTACCCTCTTTTTATTTCTTTAAGATGGGTTCTTTTAGATCTTTGAACATATAATAGCTCTATGAAGTTTTCTGCTAAGCCCAACATATAAACCCCCTTAAAGGTAATTTCTATTGCTTACTTTTTTTTCCTGTGTGTAGGCCATATTATCCTGTTTCTTTGCATGTCTCATAATTTTTTGTTAAAAAGTGGACATTTAAGATAATATACTTCAGTAACTTTGGATAATACTCTCCCATTGGAGCCTGTTGTTATGGTTATTTGCTTGTTAATTTATTTAGGGACTTGGCTGGACTAGTTCAGTGAAGTCTACCTTCCTCAACTACTTTCAATGTGTAGCTTTGATGTCATTCCTCAGAGGAGGCAGTCTTGGGCATGTGCACAGTCTTCCTGATTGATAGGGATGACTGCGGTTTTAGCCAGGCAGTCTTTTACTGTCCCTTTCACTATCTCCTAGTTAAGCTTCTGGCTGGCCTGCTTTTATTCATATCACTCCTATCTCTCAACTTCTCCAATTTTCTAGCTGGTAGTGCTATTCTTTTTGACATTATTCTGATTCATGGTCTTATCCAATTGAAGTCAGGTTCTGTGGTAGGAACAGAGATGCTAGTCTTTGAGGCTAGCTTTGATCTTCACCTTGCAGAACCTCTGTGCTATGGAACAGGAGAAGAATGTGACAAGAAACTTATTCTTCACTGGCTGCTCCCCCGAATTATCTCTATGATCAGATGTGGAAGCTGGAAGATGGGGATAGCAGGGCCTTGTGCTGCCACCCAGCCACTGCCTGTGAGGATGGAATCTCTTCATACTAACTGGCAAATCTACCTAAAATAGGTCTTTTGCTTGAATTCTGGAGGAGATGGGACCTGCCACTTGACTGCTTAGGAATCTTTGAGAGATGGGATCTGCCACTTAACTGTTGAGCTTACTGGAGCAGTTTTCTCTTTCTCTAAAAGAAAAAAAAAAGAGCTGTTCTGGAAAGAGGAACTGCCTTTTTCACCAACAGACCTTCTCCAGATCTTGCTTACCTGGTGAGGGTTGGGGATGCGAGGAACAAGCACTGTCTGGGGAAGGGTTCACTCCGTACAGACCTTCTACTGCATGGAGCTGTCAAAAATGGGACCTGCCGGTGTTCACCTACTGCCAAACTACCCAGAATATCTCTTCTACTCTAGGGAGCTGGGGGAGGTGGGAACTGTCATTTGGTTGCCAAGTCTGCTAAAACAGTTACACTGCAAGGCAAGGGAGTAGCCCCTAGCCCCAGTGCCATGGCCTTGCAGTTTTCTTACTGAATTTAAATAGATTTTGTTGAATAAACTCTTCTCAATTTGTGGCATGCCCTTTGATCAATCTCTAGAGTTTTAAATGATTGTTTTTGCTTATTTTGACAGTTTAGTATGTTTTTTTTGGGAGAGGAAATTCCTCTCTGAATTTTTTCAGTTCTTCACCACCTGTTTTGGAAATTTCTATTTAATTTTATAGATTCGCTAGAGTCTAAATAGCCTCATTGCCTTTTAGCCAGGCTTTTTGTCGGCTGTTTCTCTTTTCTACAAATTTGATGTAAAGCTGATTCATGTCATTTGGATCATGTCAGTCCCCTTTTTAACTAATGACTACACTTGTCCTCATATCAAGTTTACACTTTTCAATATACTCTACTGATTGGCTCCTCTGTGGGAAAGCCCTCATGTTTTATTTACATCCTAGCTTGGACTGTTCTAGCCAAATTTAACCTTTATACCAAAATGTCAACCTGCAATACTTCCCCACATATATAAATCAATCTTACAAAATATTTTATTTTGGGGGTTATTTATACTTAAGTTTTTTTTGGAAAGAAATTTTTTTTTAATGCTACAATGATAAATATTTTAATAAGTTCTCACTATCAATTTCTCTGTTATATTTTAATATTCTGATTAGCATTTTAGATTTGAGTTTTTACCACACCATAAACTTTATAACTAGATTATTAACTTTAAGTTGAATAAATTCATTAATTTTATACATATTTAATTTTTTTCATTTATGAAATTAGACATTCAAATTACTTCTTTTACTTTATTGTCCGTATTTCAAAACTTTAAAGTGATCAGATGATAATTGACATATATTCTAAGATTATTATAAAAGCACAAATTGCTGTATGAGTTTACTTACTTGGTTGTACAGCCCTCAAACATTCCAGTTTTGATGAAGTATGGACAAATAATGGTGGTTTTAACTTCACTTTTCTTTACCATATTTAATTCAAGGAAGAGAGACTCAGCAAGGCCAAAGGCTGCAAATTTGCTTGCAGAATAATCTGAAGCAAACAATAGTTTGACAAGTTAATTCTTGGAATTATTTTAAAAATTGCAACTCCCTCCCCTTTCTCTGGCTTGTCCTTGGGGACAAAGCATCACTGTTAAAGTCAGTACTCTCCACTCCTATATCTCTGCACTATACACCCAACAATAAGGTAGAAATCATTTTAATTTCTCTTAACCCAAGAAGACCAATGAGCACATAATCACATTTTTTTCTTTGTTTCTTAAAAAGAGAAGAATATCTCTCCTTACCACTGCCATTATAAATGGGGAAATGGAAGGTAATGCTGGTGTTATAGAGTAAAATGTTCCAGAGATTTCCCCTTGATGCAGGAAGAGTTTCTCTGTACCTTGGAAGAGTCCTAATTTCTGGGTGTTGTAGACTGAGGAATACAAAGGCACATGGAGAAACAAAGTACTCGCCTGTTAGTCCATTAATACCAATTCGTCCTGCTATACTTGAAACACAAACCAAGTGGCCATGGTTAGCTTCAATCATGGCAGGAAGGAAGGCCTTACAAGTCTGTAAGATGTAAATATACTGTGTCAGTATTTCATTCTTTTATTACTTTTTTTGCTCAGTAAGTATTTGATGAATTTACTAATTCATTTAACAAATATTTGTTTAACACTTATGATGTGTTAAATTCTGTGCAGTACAAAAGTTGGTGCAATGTAGTCACTGTATTCAAGGCACTTGTGTTTATTATATGCTAATATCTAAGAAATATTATTTGATTTTTTTTGAAGTAAACTGTACTAATTGAATCAAATTAGCATTTTACATTTATGGTTGGCTAAAAATTTTAAAATCTAGTTTTTCTAGTGTACTGAGCTCTTCCATGTAGTTTTCAGCAATTTGTATTATAATTTCATTGCATTTACCTTCCTGGCTTTACCATAAACAAGATTCATGCTCACCCTGATAGATTGGCAGAATAGGAGAAACTGATTGAGGAAGGGAGAATTTAAATGTAAGGTAAACATGCCTATTAAGTAAGTGCCTTGGAATTGTTTACCATGACTTACATATAGTCTTAGATATTTTGGTAA